TGGAGACATGTAACTCAGAGTACCTACCTGCAGTAGTAGGATAGGCAAACTTCAGGTCTTTAATGGCGTTGGGCAAAAAAACAAAGTCTTCTATGATCAAACGGTTAATTACTCAATAGAACATATTAGGTACAATAGAGCAGGTTGCCATACAGTATAAACATGAAAGTGGTAACATTCAGGATTCAGCACTCTTCAGTTGATGGGGGTTATCAACTGCATTGTATCATTTTCAGACATTTTCAGCTACAAAATAATATGTTGTTACCATAGCAAAAATAGCAGCATATTTTTTATATTGATAGGTCTAAATTGACTGCCAACAATGATTCAAATAATGGATTATCCTTATTGAAAAATGAAAAAGAACCAGAGTTTCCAACACTATTTTGACTCAAAATTGGAAGAAAGGAATGGGAAGTCGTTACCTGTGCATCCCTTTGGATGTTGGTTGTATCACTCATTATGGCTTTGGCAATACCAAAATCAATTAGTTTTAGAGAACCTTTGACAAGAAGGAAGTTAGCGGGCTTCAAGTCAGAGTGCACAATACGTTCCTCATGTATGGTGTTAACAGCTTCAAGTATTTGCTGCAAATTGTTACAACTAAATATGTGAATCTTCTATCTTGCTGAAACAGCATGACAAACAACTATTTGTGGATTAAAAAAAGAAAAGAAAAAGAAAAAGATTATGGACAACTATAACTATAATGTTTTAGTCTCTATCTTTTCCAAAAATTAACAGTAATAATTGAAAAGATATCCTATCAAACACAACTAGGATCTTGAATAAAATTCAAGTCAGAAAAAAAAAAAAGGTACTTCAGGAAAGGATGGCTTGAGAACCTGCCAGTAAAATCGAAGCCAGTTCTCATCTATGGTCTGATTGGAGCTATCCATTTCTTTCCATTTCTGTGATAGCATGTGAGCTAAATCAATTTCCCCATATTCAAGTACCATGTAAATGTATCCATCATCCTTGACTCTGCCATCTTTATTAGTCATGGAGCCACTCAACACTTCTCGGAGCAAATTCTTATCTGTCACCTAATACACAGAGTAACTGTTAGAAATACCACTAGATAAATATTTTGAATGAGCATTTCTGTCACTACGAACATATCAATCTTAAAGTTGATATGATTAACGTCCTGAAGCTGGAGAATGCTACAGTGATTTTATAACTGCATTCTTGTCATATGTAGCACTTCTAGATATTGAAGGCATGTCACTAAAAGAAACATAACTTCTAGAAATTTTTCCAACATTTCAGATGACGCTAAAGAAGCAAAACTAAACCACCTACTCTATTATTTGACATAGAAATGCCGTTAACATAAGCTTCTAAAATGTAGAACCATTAGGTAGAGATGCCCACTAAACCAATGTGAATCATGCCACTAAAAGTATATTCAGCAATGACAGCCGCAAATTCCATCTGCTTCTTGTTAATCACTCCCTACTCCAAAAATACTAGCTTATTTTCATAGTGCAAAAATGTTTAAGGCTTGCAAATGTATTTGAATCTAGTATCACATTACTTCCACAGCCTTTTAACTATTCTTTTGAGTGGTATTCTGATATTAAAAAGGAGAAAGCGTGGTGTTGTAATCCAAGAATAAATGCTTCTCTTTGCTTATTTAAAAAGTTAATCACAAAGGGAAAGGAGGATAAACTTTGAAAGATAGGATATCCATATATGATTTTAGGATGAAAGTGGGTACCTCATAGTCTATCAGCTGTATGATGTTATTCTTTCCCTTCAACTTGTTTAAATACTCAATTTCCTGGCAAAATCCAAATGCAGTAGCATAGTCTCGACCTTTAAGCTTGATTTTCTTAAGTGCATATATAGTACAATCTGATGAAATAACTTTGTGGACCTCACTGCTTCCTCCACTGCCTATCTTACCAAGCCTTTGATAGAGCTTCCCATTGACTTTAAAAAACAAGTCAGGATCATAATTTCGTTTGCGGGGCACAGATGCCACTTTACCACTTGCAATCTTCTCTTGCTTTTCTGCTTTAGAGGGCTCCAACTTTGCGTCTGAGGGCAATTTTTTTGACAGTGAAGCCTGAGATTGCACATTATCAAAGTCCCCTAAAGAACCTTGCCTTTTGATTGAGGTATCATGGGGAACAGAATGATTGTTTGAAAGTTCAGTTTCCCTTGTCACATTGCCTCGTTGTTCCCTGGATAAGTCAAATTCCTTACTCTGCACATTTGTATCCATACCTGAAGTAGAAGCCTGAGCTGCAATGGTTGCTCCATCAATTAACATTCCACTTGTGTCTTTAAGGGATGGAAACGAATGCTGTATCATATCTCCTTGATTTACAAGTTGACGATCCACATTGAAATTTCTGAGAGGTTCTATTGGCACATTAGAACTGCCTTCTTGATGAGTTTGAGAACAACATGTTGTGGGCATGGGAGCTGAAGTTGAATGGATAGACGTTGTGGTAGCACATGATGACCCCACAACTGAAGATTGCGTAACGGGTTGCCCTAAAAAGTTTCTAAAATGATGCAGCTGATCCTGAACAGCAGTTGTCCTTTTAGCTAACAATGAGGAGATCCTGCCGTCTGACTTCAGACTGGTTTCAGATTCAATGTTTTGAAAGTGCCGCTGCTTTGAGTCATTATTAACAACAGTTGATGCTGCAATTTGATTGCTTGTATCCCATTCCATTTCTGTCAATGAGAGTGAATCCATATGAGATGAAATGTTCTCCAATCTAGTGGCCATTCCATCATCAGCCCCTGCATATGGAAAGGGAGGGGTGCATGTATTGCAAGCATGGCGACAAAATTCAGGAATTACACAGGATGGGCAATAACTATTAATTTTGTCACAACGTCTGAGGTAAGGCCAAAAGAACAAACCCAACACAATATATATAAACAGAAATCACAAGATTGGAGAAAAATATGTTACCCTGAGAAGTGACATTGTGTCCAGTTGAAAATTGTACCCTTCTCTGATTATCAACATTTTGAGTTTCTAAATTCGACAAAGGAATTGGATTGTTCTCCTTAAGGTCAGTAAATGGCTTTGGCTCATCCCTCTGCACAGCAAGCGGGTTGAAATTCTCATCAAAGGATTTGGTGATGGTGCCTGAAAAGGAAGGTTGAGTAATGGACGCAACTTCTTGGGATTCAGCAGCAACACCACTGGCAGCATTATTGGTCTGCACAATTGAATCCTTGGTCATATCACCATGACTCAACGAAGCACAATCCTGAGGCATCTTAGCGTTAGCATAAGGACCCGCATTCAAACTTGAACTCCTAGGGGCCCCGCGTTGCGGAACAACTAAACGCCTGGGCTTTATACCAGTTATCTGCGTTGTACCTGTATATCATTCGGAAACACATACAAAATTACATTTGAAACTGTTAGCACTAACAGTATCATCGAATTCCTAAGAAGAGGCCTCTTTGCCATCATCTCCTCATCGAAGCCCTAAATCCAACTAAAGCTACACAGAGAACATGTAAAAATTGGTATGAACTATGAACACCCAAATTTCTAATGGTATAATGAGATGAAAAGAGATCAGAAAACAAAATTGAAATTGATAAAATCCCTAACTGCGGCCAAAACTTGCAGAAAACTATGTGAAAAACTTCGACGTGAAATCTTAACATATGAATCATACATCTATAAACAATTACCAATTAAAGAGAGAAAGAGAGAGGAAGGGTACCACGGTGGCGCTTAAAAGCAGCTTGGACATGCCGGAGGAAGTCCGGCGGGGAGGAAGAGGAAGACGTAGAGGACGAGGTGTCCTGATTTGAGATCGGACGGACCAGATTGGTTGGTGCTGGAAGCGGAAGATTAGCTTCCCTGTCCATTGACGAAACTCGACGGCATTTCTGAGTAAGTAGAGTGAAAGTTTGGGAGAAAAATGGCGGGAAGAGATTCAATCGGAGGTTCGGTGTCCGACGGTGTCCATGAGGAAGGAGGAGGTTCAGTGAGAACGCAGAGGGCGGAGAAGAGGGATTTCTGAGTTTGAACGGACGGGCGTTGGCGCTAATGTTGGAGTGATTTTCATTTGGACTTTAATGGGCCGAGATGGGCTCTAACTTTAACTACATCTACATGTTCAGTTTAATTACTTGTTTCTTCTAATGGGCTCTTGTGTGTTGTAATCTGGACTATTGTAGAACGACAAACAACACCAGATGATTTTGGGCCTTTTTCCTTGGGCTTTTTTCGTGGCTGGATAATAAAAGGAGTGTCCCCTTCTCACCACTAAAATTTTGGTTTATATATATATATAATGTAAAAAAATTTATTTATCTGGAAATTATGTGTACAATGAAGCAGTAAATTGCTACAAAAAAATAAATACTCAAACTATCAGTGTTTAACAATTCTCTCAAGTTCCAATTGTGAAGCAACAGCGCCAATGATAAAGAAAAAGAGTCTGGTCTAAACAACCCCAAGAGATCTTGTCTAGTACATCAACTCTTATATCTTCCCCCACACCCATCTTAGACTTAAAATGTTGCCAAAGAATCTCTCGTTCCTTTTCCATCTAAATGTGGTAGAGAGTAGCATTCCAAGCCATTTTTATCAAACCAACATGCAATGATTTCCTTCTCATCCTCTCTCTCAGTCATCTTAGTAACCCTGGCCATTTTCGTTTTCTTTTCTTAAATAATATATGAAAATATTAGTTTGCTAATTGGTTTTGATAGTGTTTGGTTTAGAGGTTGAAGAATAACTATCAACTATTGGCTCTAATCGAATGATTCATATACTCTTGATTATAAATAATAACAATTATCAACTATTAAATATTGACTATCATCTATATATCAATATTATCAAAATAGCTATTCAAACACCCCCTTTTAATTTGTTAACTAATAAATATCAACTGTTTTATCAATTATTGGTTAATAGTTTTAATAATTAGCTATTTTTATCAATCAAATTAGACAAAATTAAAATTTTAAAAAATAATATTTTTATAGTTTTAATGCCCATGATATTATTATTGGTGGCCATAATTTTGTCCCTTATCCCCCCTTCAAGTCTTGAGGTTTGTTATTTATGTATTGTCAATTTCTAATGGTTAAGAACAATGTTAATTTTTAAAGCAACCTATACATCAAATATGCACCTAAGGTGATGTGTGCATGCACCCTTAAATTTATTGAATGAGGGATTTTGCACAATAGCAACACCCTTATAGTAAAGAGTTTGTTGTTTTGTATTTTTAAATTATTTCGGATAGTAAAACAAAAATCATTAAATGAAAAAAGACCTTTTGATATTAAAGACCCTTTCTCATTTAATAATTAATTCTTAATAATCTAAAATAATACACACCGTAAAATATTTTTTTATATGATAAATACCAAAAACACTTGAGATACATATATCTAGTACTCATAGTACAAGCAGTGTAGTTTTAAAGAAAATAAAACACTTGAGAAGAAGGGATTTCATCTGCACGTTTGAACTTTGAATTGTTGTACTGTTTCTCAAAGTCGATGCTTTACCACAAAATGTTGCCTTTTTTAGCATTATATATAAGATTTTCTGATTTTGAAAAGCCAAAAATAGAGATGATTAATTGCAAGAGTACATTTATTTGGTCACTAAAGTAGATTACTAGATAGCTTTATTCCATTAGGCATACTTTTGAGGCAAAAGGAACCAAGCGGCTTTCTTCCACAAGAAGAGTCATAGTGGCGCAATTAGTGTCCCAACCAACCCCACCTAGGTAACATAACCGGTTACACCCATAACCCGACCCATCCTTATGGATCACATTATTTTATACACCTTGGAAGACAATATGACATATGTTATGCGTCTCACTATTTTTATTTTGGAAAATGTTTTTTATATAAATTTTTTATTTTATTTTATATATAATTTGATGTGTCATTAAAATAATTATTTTTTTCATATACAATATGTAATATTAAATACATTTATTCATGTAATTAAACGTAAAAATTGTATAAAAAAATAAGATAAAAAATTTATTCCAATAGCACCACCCTTTTCTTTTTTTCTTTTTTTTTTTACCTATGATATTCAACAATCTCATGGTAGCATCATTCATATGAAATTACAGAAGGAAGACGATTGTATCAATTGCTGCATTTTAGCATTGATTTTTTTTTTTTTTTGGTTGAAAATTGTATGTTTTAACCTTGATTTTATGATCTAATGTCACGGGTATAGTAAATCCTTCTTTTATTGTGTCTAAATCATAAAAATGAAACCACTCATACTTTACTCAATCACGAGGGAGGGACTACTTACTCAGACCGTACCATGCCTTTTTATTGATGATTAGTGCAATTCCTTTCCTCTTTCCCCACTAACAAACAGGAATGTATGAATGCTGGGGTCCCATATTTGTTTCTTCTTTAGAGTCCAGATAATCAAAGCTACCTTTCTTTCCATGGAATCAAACGGGCCGTACAGTCACTGCCTAGTGGAATTTCTAGACTCAAATCATTCTTACATAATTGCCCCACTACAACTTCCAAAAATCTTGTCTCCTCAGTACTACTTCCTCTATCTCAGCTTCATGTTTCTTAAGACTCACTCCCTGATACATTAATTGCTGATGCTGAAGAAGAAGGAAGGTTAATCCAACATTATTTTGTTCTTTTTAGTCTCACAGCTAGAATCTCATCTCAAATGTCTAAACCCACCATGGAACAAAAACATAAGAACCCACCTCTTAAGGCTCACAAACCACCGTCTTGGGCAGTTATGAGAGGCTTTTTCAGCTGTAAGCATCACCTCCAACTCCAACGGTACACTCGACCGCTGCCACAAAAGAAGAAAAAGCAGCAACAAGCGGTGGTGGAGAAAACCAGCAAGAATCACAAGAAGAAGAGATGTTCAGGTTCATTATGCAGCAACACAAAGGTCATGCACAGGTCCGAGACGGCTTCTCCTGAAGTCAACAAGAAAAGGGCAGCACTTGGTTCCAAGAACAATGATGCGTCCACCAGATCCACCAAAGCTTCTCTCCATGACCTCAATGGAGTGGTTTCTGCTGCTAATTCCTCGCTTTCTGCATCTTCTGCCTCCTTCAATGCCGGATCTTTCAGAGGAATGCCGTTTACGAGACTCTCCGGCTGTTATGAGTGCAGAATGATAGTTGATCCTCTTCTGGGATTCTCCAGAGACCCTTCTCTGAGGAGTGGCATCTGTTCCTGTCCTGAATGTGGTGAGATATTTATGAAAACTGAAAATCTGGAACTTCATCAAGCCATTACGCATGCAGGTACTGATTAATTTCTCTCTTATCAATTAATGTTTCTTAATTTAATTTGATGAAGAAAGATTAATGCTCTCAATTAATACTCATTTCATCCACAGTATCTGAGCTGGGTCCAGAAGACACAAGTAAGAACATAGTAGAAATCATATTCCAGTCAAGCTGGCTGAAGAAACAAACACCAATCTGCAAAATAGACCGAATCCTCAAGGTCCACAACACCCCCAAAACCATATCCAAATTCGAAGAATACCGGGATTTCATCAAAGCAAAAGCCACCAAGCTCCCAAAGAAGCACCCTCGTTGCATAGCAGACGGAAACGAGCTTCTCAGGTTTCACTGCACCACTTTCGCCTGCTCACTAGGCCTCAACGGGTCTTCCAACTTGTGTAACTCGATTCCCAACTGCAATGTCTGTAGCACCATCAAGAATGGTTTCAAGGAATTACTCACCGGCAAAGGAATATTGACCACTGCCACCAGCGGTAAAGCACATGATAAGGCCGAAGTGGAAGATGGGAGCGAAAAGAGGGCAATGCTGGTATGCAGGGTGATAGCAGGGAGAGAGAAGAAGAGTATGGAAGGAAGCATGGAGGAGTATGACTCGTTGGCCGGTGCTGCTGGGGTCTATTCCAATTTAGATGAATTGTATGTGTTCAATCCTAAGGCCATTTTGCCGTGTTTTGTTGTCATCTATAGTGGCTTTTAAGTTTTAACCTTTTGTTTCCTCCCTCTTTTGTAGTATTAAGAATAAGAAGGTAAGATTTCCCTGTCTGGGTTGATTGATTGATTGTGTGGGAAAATGAAATCTTCAATGGAAAAATTAGCGGTTGTTGGTGCATGGCGTGCCTTATGGGGAGGGGAAGAAGAACTTTTCTTCTTCATTTCGTTTTTTTCGTGAATTCGTGATTGTGGGACACCATAAACAATGAATTTGATGTTAAGAGTGCCCAACCCAATACATGGGCATTAATGGCCTCATGGGAAAAAACACAGAAAAAAAAAAAAAAAAAGGAGAAAAAAAAAGGGGTGGAAAGTGAGGTATAAATAGAATTGTAGAAATGATGGTTTCCTTCGCTAACCTTGTTTAAGTGGGTAGACACAAAAATTATGGGTTTCCCACTATCCTTTCGACTATTGTTTTGTGCTCATTATCTCATGATTTGAGTTTCCTAGGGGTTCGATAAAAATACACACACAATGAAACAAAAGGCAGCCAAGGATGGACTCAATAGCCACTCACAGTATTCCAACACCCAAAAGTTGTACGATTTTGTCAAAACACATAAACTAATAACATCTTACACTAACATTAAACTTTATAAGTCTGTTGTTAGGTACACCTAATATCTTAATAATAATTAAATTTTGAGTCATATAGTGTAATATTAAAATTCTCCATCCCCTTACCTCCAAATTGTACCTATTCAATTTTTTTTTTTGCATTAGAATTTGATGGGTTATGTTTTTGATGTATGGATTACACAAGAAGTAGTGCTTTACTCTATCTTGTTGAATGAGGGTTTCCGTCTCATATGCACGGGTCCATTATACAACTAACAGAGGACATTACCAGATTTTTTTTTGTTCCACCTTTTAAGGTGGGTTATCCTATGGCCTGTAATGGTTCACAACTGATTGGGGCATAAAGAGGACTGGATGCAGGACAACAGAATACTTGCTCAAGAGCAGTGCTAGGGGCACTCGCCTCCTGCACTCTGCGGCCAACACTCCCCCTTTCATTGGACCATGTAAGGTTGTTTAAGCTCTGAAGTGCAACCTCTCGCCGAACTAAAATAACGTGGCCCAATGAGAGGAGGAGTGTCGGCCGGAGAGTGCAGGAGGCGAGTGCCCCTAGCACTGCTCACTTGCCCAAATGGTATACATTACAGTGTGAAATAATCGCTGAAGAAAGAGACATAGCATTAGAAAGGATTGGGCTATATGTTCAGGACTCCGAGGGAGGAGCCCACCCATGTTGCGGTTGTCTGATTGAGCCTGTTGGGTCAGGCTCAATGGCTGGACCATCTATTCTATGGGACATTAATGGAGATGAGAAAGTTAAGAGTCCTGTTGCAGCAATTTGAAGGAATTGGAGCCTCTCCCTACCCTTTCTGACCTTTGGACTAAAACTAAGGACTTCTCATAAAGTTATTGTCCATGTACATTTGGACAAAAATGAAAAACCAATCACTAAAAGACAGCTTCAATGGAAAACAGTTTGAAGACAAGATAGATGACGGTGGCAAGGACAGAGGAGCCTCCTACAAATTTCATTCCCAAACTACTACTGGAAAACAAAGGAACCATGTCATTCTGGTTCAAGCGTTCAGAGTCAATGAATAACACTGCTGCAGCTGAGCTTAGTTGAACATTATCAATCAACTACCAGTTTGCTACTCGTAGCTGCTACATGGCAAGCCAAATTTCAGCAGCTTGCTCTTCAAACCAGCTGTTCAATGTTGAATGTGCGGATGTGATCAGACCCCACATGAAAACCAAACGAATGTCAGAGGATAAGGTGTCGATGCTCCACTCAAGAAAACTGTACATGCTCCACTGGTCCACCTTCAGAGAGCAGATCACACGATAATGGAGTGCAGAGACCATGAACACAAGGGTAAAGCTGCAAAAATGATAGGAAGTAGACAATCCATGATTGCATTGGTATAGGAGTTATTGGAGCAGCAAATTCCATTGTTATTGTTGACACGAAGTGGATACCAAGAACAATCACACCGCCAATCTCAATTTGAGTGTTGAATTATGATATTGCTGTAGACATGAACATTCTGATAACGGATATGCATATATGGATGTTTTTCGGTTGATTTTTTTAATTCTGGGTACCATCATCCCCTTGTGATCACTTTCAGTTAGCATCACTTCCATCTGATTTTTGAAAGCTTTCCAACTGCAAAACCAGTGAATAGACATTTGATTTCAATGTCAGCAACTCAAAGAAATACATAATTGTTGGGTTTGTCAAATCCTAGAATATGGTTTAACAATATTCTGACTATTTACCATCAAGTTAAGTCCAGTTACCTTAACATTACCAAAGTTTTTATTGCAAATATTCAAATACAGTTATAAATTAAATTGCAGTACTTCAGAAGTGCAAAACAAGAATACCTGATGGCCATGTCCTCTAGTAGCACCACAAGCTTGCGTTTATCTGGGATAATAGTCTTTGCATGTCCAAAAAGGAATCTTCGGTGGCCCATCAAAAACTGGGGAAAGTTTCCACCCTGAGTTGTAACAAAAACCTCACTGAACAAGCTTACTGCATAATCTATAGCTGCAAGCCTTGAAGAATACCCCTAACAGAAGAGAAAAAGGACATTATATAGATGCTGTAAAAATTTACAGAGCTTAGAATATGGGCTGAGAGAGCACTGCAAGATTAATTTCAGGGCTTAGCTCAGACTTGTTTGAGATAATTCATTCACTTGTTCACTTGGTTAACCAGTCCAGAGAGCCAAACGCATAAAATTTGAGGGGATAGAAGGTCTATGCAAAGAGGAGATACCGAAAAGAACCTTATTTAAATCATTGATGCAAGTTGATTTACCAGTTTCATTTAAAGACACTCAACTAGTATAGTCAGGGTCCTCAGTTGGTGCCAACTTACTACAAAACCTTGATTTGACGTGATGGTCAAGGTTCAAACCTTTGCAATTGCTAAGCAACTAACTTCTTTTGTGCCAAAGAAGAAGAAAAAAAAAAAAAACCTAGTAGTCAGGACCTTATTGGGGAAGAGAGCAGTGATAAGATGTGCACAATGTGGCAGAACTTCTCAGTCAATCAACTGCTCATGTTGCAGGCTGAAAAAAATGTTGATGAAAATATATTGCCAAAATGTCAAATCTATTCCATTCTCAATCTAACAAATTCTTTTGATGCTTACCTTGAAAGGAGCAAGCTCTTCAGGGGTTGCAAGAGACTCCTTGGTATAAAGCAGTGGGAACATCTTTTTCAGAGGAGCCAGATGTTTCTCTGCTTGGTAAATTTTCCCCGAGGCCAAATAAATTGAAGTGTTGTTGTCAAATCCCATACCACGTAGCATCAAGCCAACCTATGCTGACAGGGAAAATATTATGCAGAAAAAGAGTTATTATTTGCAACAAATAGACAAGCACGCACGCACGTGCACACACAAATCTCCAATTGAACTGCACCCAATAATGCATAGAATAGATTACAATGTAGATAGCATAAATCTCTAACTGAAATGCATGAATTTTAGCTCTCAAAAGACATCCATCTGTCATAAGATTTACAGCCATTTTCATTATAATGTGATGAAAAATAGTCCATGCCACAACTGAAATATGCGTGGGATTTTGAATCTATATGAGTCTACAATATTAGAAATTAAGAAATTGAAAAATAATTTGGCACTATAGCAGATTTTCCTTCTAGCAGTGTCATTTACATGATTCTGACCAAGAATTGAAAAATATAATTCAAGTAATAATAATATAAGCTTAAACAAAAGATTTGGGGAGAATATATGACAAAGCAAAGCTGAATTTGAATTGCTAGGTTGGCAAAAAGGGTTCTTTAGGCAAGCCAATCCCTATCAAGCTATTTTACTTTGATAACCATTATCAACATTAGTTCTCTTTAGCTTTAAATCAGCTCTGTTTCAAACTGATCTCATCTCCATTGCTACTGGAAACAAGACACTATCAAAGATGTTATGGAAGCACAGCTAAACCACAAAAAATCTGTATTGAGACTTATCACTACATCTTACATTTTAAAAAGAGTGGTTAATGGCTCAAAAAGTACCGGACACAATATATAAAGATAAAGAATTCAAATTTCATTGCAATGGTCAAGAGGAATAGCATTTATAAAGTACCTCCACAGGGGTTAGGGGACATTTTCCATTGATCCGATTGAGAGAAGGTACAATTACATGACCCTTCTGTTTAAACTTCCCCTTCCAGCCCTTTTCTCTAAAGGAATCCAATTCCACAGTTTCAGCATCACCTCCATCATACATACAACATGAGAAGGCTACCATGTCCTGTAAATTGATGAGTGACAGACACTTCATTGTTACATATTTTTAAAACTAGTAATATATAAAGAGCAAATATCAGAACCACTTGATTATAAGATGAAGAAAATAAGCACCATACCTCCTCAAAGCGGAGGTGGATAGAAACATACTTTCCTGCAGTCCGTGGGCTCCTCTCAACCATCCTTCCGACTAGTCTCTCTGCAAGTGTTGAGATTGCTGAAGAGAACCTCAATGCTCTATAATTTGCTATGCATCGAAGTAACTGAATATAAGGTGGGACATTCATTGCCAATCTATTAGCAAATGGCCCAATGCGGATAACCCTGCATCAAACTCATAGCCATCAGAACTGACAACAGAAGCATATAATATAAGAATTTAGATTATTGGTCGCTACAGAATTAACATAGATTGAAAAGTTGTAGGTTAGTCATTACTAAACAGTCAATGTCAAGTTCTGTAGGAAAAAAAAAAA